AAATTCACTTAATTTAACGACTTAAAAAATGGAACTCGAAAGCAGACAACAATACATGATAGACAAACAAGAAGAGTTGAAAATAAAGTTGAGACAGTGCAATACATGCAGGAAAACATGGAGTAGAATCGATTCTTTTTTCAAAACAGCGAGCACAGTTCTAATGGTAGGAGTAACGGTGGCAACGGCCGTGACTGGTGGATTAATGCTTCCGGTCATCGTCCCAACCGTATTGGCTGCATTAACAGCCGTTCAAACGACCTCTTGCGGCCTCATCACTTTAGGTTTCACGAGCAAAAAGAAAGCTCATTATAAAAAGAAAACGGATATCTTGAATATGTATCTTAATCAATTGTACATCTTTTTCGAAAGATCGAGAGAAGACAAGAACATAACAGTTGAAGAATTAAAAGAATTCAATGAAATTTTGGACAAATTCCATACAGAAATATCAGCGGTCAAAATAAAGAAATAATCAAAAATATATACTTAAAAAAATATGAATAAAATCGAACTTGCAGACGTTGAAACATTGATAGAAAACGCCCTATTTTCCGATGTTATCAAGGCTATCTCTGATAAATTTAAAACATTCAAAAGACAAATTAAAATAGATGGAGAGATAGTCGAGGAAGGGAATCACAGACAATACATGTCACTCCTCGGTTTCAATGCCAAAACCTTTCACAATATCTTTTCAAATATGGACAAAAAATCCGATGCTTCCGATTGGTATTTTACAGGAAAAATAATTTTAATGAAAGACAATTTCCAAGAAATCAATAGGTCGAGAGTTGGTAGAGGAGGAACTGATCTACTTAAAAAGATAAATGAATACGAATGCAAAAATTGTTTCATTCCTACAGATGGTCATTGTTTTATCAAATGCGTCAATCGTGTTTTGAACAAAGATTTAACGTGTAAATTTCAAGAATACATCAACGGGTTTTCAAAAGCAAATAGAAAAGGAGTGATGACTTGTGCTAGAATGAAGGAATTCAACAAGAAATTTAACACTTCGTTTCAAATTTATAATCCCAAAAACAGACATTTTCACCCCAGAGACGTGCATGATGAATTAGATTGGGTTTTTTACTTACACAACTCGCATTTCTGTTTGATTAGAAGAAGCCAAAAAAGTTTGGGAATTCAAGAAATAGAAGACAATTACGAACAGGTGTGGAAAACGTGTAGAGACGACAACGCAGTAACACAGGTTTCACCTCTCAAACTAAACGTGCTTTCAAGTATGAGTGATGATGCGTTATTCGCTTGGGATTGCGAAACGTATTCAGAAAAAGACACGCGAAGAGCAATTCCTTATGCCTGCACTTTAATTAATTTAGAAAAACTAAGGAAAATGTTAAACAGAATAAATAATCTCTTTCCAGATTTAAAGCCGCCAGATCCCATTCCAGAAGAATTTTACTCATGACTAATATAGTAGAAATATTTGTAGGTACAGATTGCATCGATCAAATGTTGAAATATTTAGGTCAATATGATAGAAAGAGATTAATATTAATTTCTCATAACGGCAGTGGATTCGACAACTGGATCGTGCTTAAAAATGCAAAAAAACTAACGCATTGCCCTTTAAAAACACCCAGAGGAATTCTATCTTTTCCTTTATCTAATCCATACACGGATGAAGATTTACAGAAAAAATGGAAAAGACAGAAAGAAATAAAGGGTAATTATTTACAACATATTAATTTCACGTGTTCCTATCAACATGAATCCTCTAGTTTGGCTGCATGGGGAAATTCTTCCAATCTTCCCGCGAATTTGAGAAAGATTGCCGACGCAGATATCGCTAAATACACGCAAGACAACTGGGAGGAATTGAGACACGAATGGGAACCTTACGCCAAGAGAGACACTCTCTGTATGGGAGTTTGTTTGATAAAATACAACCAAGTCACGAAAGAAGTTGTAAACCAGAATATGTCCAATAATCTAACGGCTCCATCTTTATCTTTAAAGAGTTGGTATTATTTATATCATTACGATAAAGAAATGGTTGAAGAAGAGTGGTATAAAAATACTAGAATGGTTGCGAAACATACCGAAAAAGAAAATATAGAAAAAGTTTATTCGTACACAAATCCTTTTATAAGAAATTTTATCAGACGATCTATTAAAGGAGGAAGAGTTTCGGCAAATAGAAAATCATTTGAAACGAACAAAATGGATGAAATTTGTAACGTATTAAAGGAATATATTTCACAAACAGAAAGTAATAACATAATTGATTTATTCAAAGAATACAGCGCAAGCACAAAAGACAAAACGGAGGTTCATTCGAGACTTAAAAAAATAGAATGTACTAAACTAATGGCATTTGATGCTAACGGTTTATACGCTTCCGCCATGTCGGATTTAGACAGTGAATATCCGAGAGCGGAAAGTGGAAGACCGTTTCTACCAGAAGAAGAAAAAGAATTTGTAAAACTCTTCAATAAACAAAAATTCAGACCTAGAACAGCTATTTTAACAGTGTGGTTTGACTATCCCAAAAACATGTTCTTCCCACCGATACCAGCTAAAGATAAAATCACTTTCACGAATAAAGAAGGTAAAAAGGAAACTGGTAACAAAATCAGGTTCAGAAATGGTTTCTGTCACGACGTTTTAACATCGGTCAATATTCAAGAAATAGTGAAAGCCGGTGGACGAATTATTAGAATATTGGATGGTATAGTTTACGAAGAAAATTTTAAAACTCCACCCTATAGAGATTATATTTTAAGTTTGAGAGATCTAAGAAATAAATATAAACGAGAAGGTAATATCGTGGGTAGTAATTGCATGAAATTATTAGGTAATTCCTTGTATGGTAAATCAATTCAGAAAGATATATTCACAACTAGACATTTATGGAATGAAGCAACTTTACAGGCCAACTTTGATTCACCTATGAGAAAATTAATGATACTCAATATATTGTTGAAACAGAAATTGAAGAAAAAGAGATTACTACCGAAGATAGTAAATCTACACGACTAACACCTAGTCATTTGGGATCATTCGTTTTATCTCACAGTAAAAAAATAATGAACAATTTCATTCACGTCATAAATGGATTTTATAAACCCGAAATATACTATACCGACACCGATAGTTTGTACATTTCATCCAAAAATTGGAAAAAACTAAACAGAGCTGGTTTGGTCTCCGAAAAAGACTATTGCAAAGGTAAAAACGATTACGGTGACGGTGGAATTATATTTGGTTTATATTTAGCACCAAAAGTCAAATACAACATCGTTTTGACTTCTGATGGTGTCTTAAAAGAAAAGAAAACGTTTAAAGGTTATTCTAATGATAAGATAAGTGTAGAAGATTACGTTCAGTTAGCAAGCGGACATGATGTGTCGAACGAATGTAATAAACCATGGGAAAAAAGTTTCACCAATGGAGTAGTTATTCCAAATGATAAACAAACTAAAGTTTTTAGAAGTTATTTGAATAATGTTAAAAGAAAACCACCAAACAGTGAAGGAATTATGTATCCTTACAACGACAAAGATGAGTATAGTTTTGATGAAAACTATGAATTTGATGATTTCAATTATCTTACTATTCAAGAAGAGAATGAAGATTGTTTTAAATGAAGTTGAATGACAATTTCTTCGTTGCCAAAGTCTATGAACCTGTTTTTACCGTCTTTGATTTCCAGATTTATATCTTTGATCATGAAAGAATTGACTGGTAAATAGGTTGTTTGAAACGGTTTCTCTATAATTCTGTATCCGATCGGCACCGTAAAAGTCGGTATGCTGTATATGATTTGGCGTTTGTGCTTGTTGAAAAATCCACCGTTGATCAAATTACAGTGAATGTTGATCACGTCGATGTCGTTCTCGATGTTGGCCTTGTGCGGCGCCAATGTCGATTGCGCGTATATTCGTTTATCGAACCCTAGTAACGCATTCAACGATTTTTCTACGTTGAAATCGACTTGACTGTTATTTCTCAAGATCAGTTTTATTTTGTTCAGATTCAAATTACCTTCGAATTCGATATTGTTTTTACCGTTCACGCTTCCTGCGTATTCGGATAGGTATTCGTTGATGGCTACGTATTCGTAGCTCCCCGGTAGTAAGCTTATGGTTTCGAACGTAACTCCGTTATCCGTCGATATTTTTAGTTGATTGTTTTTTTCGTTGATGTTTCTAATGGAATTGTAAACAGAGAA